ATGTTTTATTTCCTGTTTGACAAAGATAAATCTCTGCCCATTGAATATCCACTTTCATAATTGCCTGTCGAATATTTCTTATTTTCAAAATAGGTAAAATTTCATCGAATTGAATCGTTTTCACAACATAAATATCGTCATATTCTGTTTGTTTAACGATTGTTTTCGGAAGAACAGCTTGTGAACCGACATTTTCAGGATCCGATGTCATTTTGAAATATCGACCAGTTTCCTCATGAATTGCATTACCAATTAAAATCACATTTTTTTCTACATGTTCGATTTGAATTGCTTTTCGAATTCGATCGATATTTGGTTTGAAACATTCGATTGAAATCACTTGTCTTCCGAGTGACGCGACGAACAGTGTGTACGATCCAATATTTGCTCCGACATCGAAAAAGTTCATCTGAGGGTATCGTTGAAGAACGATCAACAATCGAGTAAGAAGTTTTTCTTCCCAAACTTTTTCTTCTGCAATTTGTCTACTCACCGCATCACGAATATCATGAAGACAAATTGTAGTTTGTGTTATGTTTAATAATCGCTTCGTTTTGATACACGAGAAATTCTCTCGACTTTCTTTTTGCAGATCAATGATATTCACATGCGGTGATAAAAGATTTCGTTGAGAAACAACTAAGTTTCGTATTTCAACATACACTAGTGAAGATATGAGGGTTTGTTCAGAATAATAAATGAATGTTAAGATAATTATTCCACAGACAAATAGTATTAGACGATGGTTTCTTCCAATAATAAACAATTTTATTAGAAAAAAATTCATTATGGTAATATTTGAGAAACACTTGTTTATCTAAAACAAAGAATTGAAGATATGATAACAGTGGTAGAGAACACTCGGCGACATTGAAAGAACTAATCGAGACAAAGAAAAATGTGAAGTTTCATCGCCAATTTTCTGTTGGACCGCTTTCAACAACTTATAATTTCAGCAATGGAAATAATCTTTCCATGACGATGTGCCATTTTACCGACGACAGTTGTATTCTATAGAAAAACCTTCAGCAAACACTTAAGAAATTGACACTCATACCGAAAGAAAAAAATTTGATGCAGAAAAACATTCAATGAGAAATCTTTTGTCGAGAGTTCTCTAAGAAAAAAATAATGAACCATATGCGCCGCATTCAATGATAAGAGAATGACTGCAACTGCATACGTGAAAATAATTCATCAGCCAAAAAGCGCAGTTTCCAGATTTTAAAACGCATTAGAAAAACACAACACCAATTGTCGTTTTTCTTTATAGATAAGCAAACTACAAAGAATTTCCTAGTTCGAACAAAGCATATTGGTGAAAACATGAAGAATTTATCGAGATAATCGTTGTTTTTCGATGTAAAATCCACATCGAACCATCAAGAATTTTAATATTTAAATATTTCAATAAAAAGTTCGAATTAATATTTTAGAAATAGTTTTCAAGGACAAACTAAAGCAAATCTTTGGATTCAATCATTGGTCCACTCAGCAACATAAAGATTTCCCCCATCATCAAGTGATAAACCAATTGGTAACGGCAATTGATTTGATCGATTTCCTCTCTCTGACGAGCCAGCGATCAGTCGCATTCTCTTTGGGACTGTTCAAGTATTACGTCATCCATTTTTTGGCCATTTTGACCCAATTCCCACCCCCAAATAATCAAATATCATTATTGGCGGAACTCTACCCCCTTGATGACGTAATCACAAGTAGCGCTCATCCGTTGGATTCGCTGACCCTTTTCTGAAAGAATTGTCTCAGTGCTGACCACATTCAAACACTTTGAAAGACAACTTAGGCACTGCGATTGCTACTAGTCGTCAATTGAACCATGGCACTATGTCACACACTAGAGTGTGGTGGACGAACAATTCGTCGCCGATATAATTAATTAGAGGATGTTAATCATGTATGTAAGACAGATGAGTTTCTATACAAAGTCGTCTCGTAATTGATACTGATTGGTTTTATTGAAAGAAAATACAACACAGAAGAAATACAAAAAATATCTACAACAACATATTTTCAGCTAAGTCTTTCGAATGTTCACCTAGATCGACGCTGTTGTAATCACCAACTAATCGCGTAATTCTCT